TCAGCTGTTCTTTAAAATGTGTACTAAAATTGAAGTAGTATAGAAATACATCAAAATAACATATCCAGGTAATCCAGATTCATACTTTTATTCTGAATCTTTTCAATACCTTATTTTCCTCTTTTCCAGCAATGTTTCTCTGTCACAAATATATTATTTGAAAATATTGATATGGAGATCAGTTGGACAAACTGAAGAAGAAAATTATTTAAAACAAACAAATGATGCAGACTGTATTTCTGGAAGCAAAGACATAATTCAAATGAAAAATTGAAAAATAAAACAACTTATTTCTTTGCTTTCTTCTTATTGACTGCTAGTCAAATCCTTTCTACACTGATATGCCTATAATGTAGCACACAATCTACCCTTATATATAAAACAAATATAGGTCTTTATACCTGTTTATATGGATGTGTGGTTTGATTTACTAAGGAACTTAGGGTGATGAAGTGACTAGCAGCAAAAGATCCCATGTTTGTGCCTACATGTTGATGATAAAGGCAGCAAAACATCAGAACTTCTCCCTGTTATTGCATCCACAGGGTATTGATCAGAGGAGCTCTTTGAGGAAGCCAGTTATATATCTGGAAGGAGCACCCAAAGCAGCAAGTTGGTGTGGCCTGCTCGAGCAAAACCTCACCTGTAAAATTGCTCATGCTCACTCTAGACTGGACTGCATACTGATGGGGTCTGATGAGGTGATTGGGATGATCTTACAATGTTATCTGGGATTCATTTCAGTTTGTGGGCTCTGAAGAAGTGGATAATGTGCTTTGTGGTACCAGCTCTGCTATCTGTGGGCTGGATCCTTGCCTGGCTTGGCTCCTGCAGATAACACTGATTCAGTTATCAACACTTCTTAGGGAGAAAAACTCCCTCCTGAAGGAGGTTTCTCTAGATCCAGTAATACCGGATAATTACCACCCATTTTCAAACTCCTCTTTGCTGGGAAAGTGATAGAGAGTCTGTTGGAGAAGTAGATTATCAGGACCTCTTTTGGTCTAGGTTCAGGCCTAGGTACAGGACTGAAACTGGGTTGGTCATTCTGATGAATGTTAGGATCTGGAGGAGGCTACTGCAACTCTTTGAGGATAGTACAACTCTTCTGGTCCTTTTAGATCTCTTGGTGGTGACTGACTGTAATGGGTAGAAGGAATAACCCTGAGGAACAGGACGAAGAGCCACAACTAAGACAATGGTCAGATAAAAAAATTCTGAGTCTGGGGCAGAAATGTAATTTGAGAAAGCATCTCAGACAGGATTCTCCCTAGTTCCCATGAAGATTCGGTGTGGGGGAGGGGGAATGTATTCACACTTGCAAGGTTCTGTTATTGTAACCTTGTAGTAAAAGTAGTATTAGCATTCATAACTTTGGTTTCCAGGTTTGGTCTACCTTGGAGGGCTGACATAAATACTCAATCACTGTATCTACTTGACTGCCTTCTTTAGGACTGGGAGCAGGCAACACTGTACTACAGTGATCTGATGCTTTCCTGAGGGGTCAGGACCAATTGGTGGTGGCAGGGGAGTAGTAGTCAACCAAGTGATTACTCCCTTGAGAAGGCTACAGGAGTGGCTGTTTTGTCCCTGCTTTTTAAATATCTATATAAAACTACTAGGAGATTTCATCCTTTGGTTCATAATGAGGCTTCATCAGTATGCTGATGATACTCAGCTATATAGCTACCCTGGCTGGAATTGGAGACGAGATGGCAGTCTTGACTCAGTGCATGGAAGCCGTAGGGGCATGGATGGAAAAATACAAGCTAAAACTGAACTCTTGCAAAATGGTGATGCCATTCATTCCAAAATAATCTGGTTCCCTGTGGCTCCTGTTTTGATTCTGGATAGGGTTGCGCTTTCCCAGAGTAGCACATCTGTGACTTGAGGGTTCTGCTGGACTTTCAGCTACTGCTGGATTTGCAGGTGGAGACCACGGCTAGAAGAACCATTGCACAACTTTGGCAACAGCTCCTAGCTGAGGCTAGGATATTTTGATGCACTTGATAGGTATGGTGCTATTTCTGAAGACAGCTTGGAAGCTGCAGTCCCTGCAAAATGGGTGAGAGCTTCCACTGCCACATAACACCAAGCCTTAACAGCTGCATGGGCTTCTAATGAGATGTTTGGATTCAGTTCTAAGTGCCGGATTCAACCTCTAAAGATTTACGTAGCTTCGCTCTGAGGTATCTCCTGGGTTGCCTCTTTCAGTTAGAACTGTCCACCCCATCACTCACCCCGGAAGGAATGCTCAAAGTACCCCCCCATTTGTGAAATTTTGGGGGGTAGAGACAGTGTTTCTCCATTGTAGCCTCTTCCTTCTGGAATATATTCTTTCCTTTAGAGATGAGGTTAATAGTTTCACAGCTTTTTGCTCTCATTTAGAAGGGCCATTAAAACAGTGCTCAGATATGATGGTCACCACTGAGACTGCCTTGGGTGGGAATTTTATGGTATACCGTTTTTTTTCTTTTTAGCAGGATTATGATTTTTTTTTTTTTACTGTTTTACTTTAAATCACTTGGAGTCAGTTTGGAATGTAGTGGTATATAAAAAGTTGCAAATATATTTGCACAAAAAAAGGAACTATTGGACAAAAAGCTCTATTTTGTTGTAAGACAATTACATGGTCATTTCATTTTGAGCTGCCATTTATAGGATTAATATTTTTTATTAAGTTTCCTTCATTTTTCTATGACAGAAAGCTTCAGCCAAATCAGAATACAATGTTTCATTTGAATATCAGTAATGTGGGATGGAATGTACTGAGGGCTGAATGTGCCAGTTGAGTAGTTTTATTTATTTATTACAGTACAACCATTTGTACACTGTGCAATTTCAAGACTCTGGCGGTTTACACAGTAAAATACAATACAAAAATACAATGCATATAGCAACCTTCTGGTTAAAATCCATACCATTCAGTAACCTTAAAACATATAAACTAAAACCAAGAAGTCCAAAAATCTACAACAGAAAGCAAAAAAGGCACCCCAAAGGCAGGCCAGCAATATTTAAATACCCATCAAAATAAGGTTGTTTTTGCAACTTTACAAAGTGCACCCAAGGCAGAGTAAATACACCTCATGAGGATAAACTATTTTAAAATGCATATTGAACACCTGATGTTTCCAGCCAATGAAGAGATGCCTTGGAAGGCTAAGCCAATGCTGGCATTAATTCCTTAGCAGACTTAAGAATCTTTGAAATGGCCATGATAAGAGCCAGTTAATAAGGCAAATTTCAGTAATGTCACCAATTATTTGGGAGCTGGTTTAGAGAGAAAACTAAATACAAGGGACAGCATGGAAGTAATACTATAGATTAAAAGGACAAATAAGGTGCCCATGTGGTTCATGAAGGTCTATCCAGTCTTTAAGCACAGGTTGTAAGAGATCCCAAGGCTGCAGGGAAAAGAATGGGTCAATCACTGAACACAGTTCCTTCCCTCCAAGGAATCTATGACATGGTTTTGCTGTAACTCTACTCCATGACAGAGACCAAGTGATATGCCATTCTCATCTTGATGCATCACAAAGTTCACAACTGAAATAAACTGTACTACATAAAATGTCTTAATTATATTTCACATACTGGGTCGATATTTCTTAAAAGTTATTTGTTATGCTGCTTGCAGGGAGCTTAGAATGATCCACACCATTCCACTCTCCTTTATCCCATAAATCTAGAAAGTGAAATTGTGAACTGTACTGCTTCACAAAAATGAGCATTTTGGTTGCAGAAATTAGTTGAGAAAGGAGAATGGAAAAACCAGTTCCAGAGCGGCAGAAGATCAGCAACAGATAAACATTGGCTCTCTGGCAACTGTTATAATGATCATTGGCATTCTTTTTTCCCCCTTCATTTTGAAAGCTTTGTAGGTGTCATGTTATAAACATGAAAGGCCGAAAAAAAAAAGTTTCTAAGCCCCCCACCCCCCAAATAATAATTTAAGCACTGCCTTGTCTTTACATTCAGGTGTCTTTTTTACTTTGCTTTTTTCAGTAATAGTTAGATGAAAGCACACTACAGTAGTTCAAGAGTCAGTCCTTAAAGGGCTGAGAAATAACTCCATAAGCTTGGCATGTCAACCAAGCTTTCCTCATTTGTAATTTAAACACTTCTACTTGTTATTACTTGTAATCATATGATAATTATCCTGTTCTTTCTAGTAAAATCTTCTATTGCTTCTTATTCTTGCAACCAAATACAGTATTACACCCAATTCTGCAACTTTACAATCTTGCTATCTTCATCTCTCTTGCAGCTCTTGTTTATTTTCATATAATAAGCTTTTGCTCTCCACCATAATGTCGCACTGGTTCTTCTTTCCATGAAAACACCCTCTGCTTTGCTTTTGAGCAGCAAAGTAGTGATGAAGAAGATTTGAAACAGGTTTTTATACTGAAGGATCATGAATTCTGGTGCTCAAAAATAAAAAAATAAATCTGCATCAGTGGAGCCTGGGTTTCTAGTTTTTTAAAAAAGCAGATTCTGCAAGTCTTAGCTTTTTCTTTCCATTGTACTGTGTGTATGGGAAGGGAGAAGTATGATGGAATGTATACCCTGATATTTTTAAAAAAGAATTATCTTCTCTCTGCACTATAAAAATTATCAAGAATAAAAAAAGGAAAAGCGATTTTCCCCCTTTCAATGTGTGAGAACCATTTCACCCATGTCACCCCATAGCAAATATACTGTTGTCAGACAGTCTTAATACCAGCAATCTGTAAAGCCCAACTAGAGAGGGTTGGTGGATGTGAGTGGGGAAGGGGAAAGCCCCAAAATCTTTTACAGCATTAGAAAGCTCCCATTTTTGGACTATTCAGTTCTGAACAGCAGCAATCCTCTTGCCCAGGATGGGAAAACACTGCAAGTTCCCACTTGCACAATTTAACAAATGCTAACAAAGCTATAGCCTTAAGCACGCTTGCAGGGAAATAAGTCACTTTGAAAAGTTGGTCCATGATGGTTGCAAATAAAATGGTTCCACTCACACTATATAGCAATCAACATCTGCTAGCCCGAAATCATAACCTGGGGGAGATGCAGGAAATGCTCCTGTGTGACAGCATGAAAATATGTCACCTGATTAAAGAAATACAAAGAAATGAATCATATGGGCTCATTTGGGCAAGTAATATTAATCTATTCATTAAATTTTCAGACTCTCTGAAACTAAAATTATACTTCACCTAAGATACAAAAAATATTATTTGTTTTAAATACACATACAAAACACATCCCTTCCTTGCAGGAAAAAGGGACACGAATGAGATGCTCTTTGTCCCACCACCTGTAGGATTGCTTGTTGCTTAGAAATTATTTGTAAAATATCTATGGTTCAATGTGTGTGGAAACAGTTTCTTAATTAGTTTTAGATGGATTAATTGTGCAACAGTGCAGCAGAAGATATACCGTAGTATAAAAAATGGCAGTGAAGAAATAAAGTGAAAACCGTAGGAAAGGAATGGCAAAGGAGAGGCATTCCAGAACATTTAATGCAGGGTTGCTATTTGTTTCACGTGGCTAGAAAATAAGAAAAAGACGTATTTGCCCCACGTTGTCAGCTACTTTATAAATGAAACCGAGGTGTATATTTGTACAAGCCACCATCCTACTCCTAATCTGAAAATAAACCCCACTGAACTCAGGCGTCTGGATGGGCAGCTCTAGGACTGCAGCACGGGCTGACTGTCCCCCGTCCTCCCTTCAGGGCTCAGAGCCAGGCGAGCTGCGTTTGTGTCCGGGGAGGCGCAGCGCCCTCCACCCAGTCAGGACCAGCGCGGAGAGGCAGGCGTGGGCAAAGCGGGGGGAAACGGGAGGTCGTCTGCGGGGAGAAAGCGGGAAAGGGCGGGCTGACTCACCCGCGCACCGGTAGCTAGCCGAGAAGGTGTAGCGGCGGCAGAGGGCGCACCACGTCCGCCCCCCCTCGGCAAGGCCTAACCGGGGCGGGCCCCTCAACGGGGGGGACCGCCCCCGCGCGGGACCCA